AAGCCGGCTGGGCTGGCTGAACCGGGCCATAAAACCCCTGACGAAGGCGGGTCACCGGTCTGGGTGGTAGCGGAGGGGGAAGCGGTAGGCCCACACGCTCCGCCGCCGTGGCCATCACCAGCGGAAGATCCTGGTGGGCAGGTCTGTGCGGTGGACCTTCGTGGCCACCGGACCCAGAAGCGCCTGACAGCGAGAAGTCCTCGTCTTCCTCCTCCGCCTGCCGGAATGGCGAAGACGAAGGGCACCTCCTCGGCCACCTCCTCGGCCACCTCCTCGGCCATCTCCTGGTCCTCCGTCTCCACCACCTCGATGTCCTCCTGGTCCTGTGCCTCATCCGGCAAGACATAACGCGGTCGGAGGGCGTAGCCGCCTTATATACTGTGGGCCTGCGCGCGCATTCAGGTAGGCTCGCCCCGATTGGCCGGCTACGTTTACGTAACTCAGTAGGTGAAAGCACGCACAGCATGATAGAGAGTAGTACCCATAGAGTCCAGTAGAGGGCGGAGCCTGTGTGAGATATAACTTTGTTGTTCCACGAGGCAGTTGTAGCCATAGCAAATGGATTAACAAGTGAATTTAGGTACTTAACCTTCAACTACCTGCTGCCTGAAATCCCTGTGACATCACTGTAGATTGTTGTAACCAACTAGCTGTGTGGGACATTATCACAATACATATTTAAGTTAATTGACTTGGATTTTAAAGGTCTTTCGCTGTAGTTACTAGCTTTGTCAACATGCTTTGGTGAAGGCCTATTCTTTCAATATGATGGATTTGAATAGTTGGATATTATTAGACGTCTAAAAGGACAACATAGGTTGTTTGTTTTACTGTAATTGCAATGCTAATACCAATTTAGCATAGTGGTATAGCACTAACTGCTAACAAGGTTTTGATATTCACAGTCTGGCTGTTAATGTTCAATGTTATGGGCTAAATTGTACATGCTAGTGCAGGGGTCGGCAACAGGCGGACCGCGGTCCGGATCCGGACCCAGACGCCGACCTATACGGACCCGGACCTATAATCAATACATTAATTGATTAATTGATTTAGACTAGATGGCGGCGCGAGCAGTCGCAGCGGCCCCTCGCGGTCTAGAAGAAACAGTGTTTTCGTCTTGTTCGTCAGATCTGTCGAGTTTGTCACTTTGTTCGTCATCTCCGTTGGACTTATACCGTAAAGGACAACAATACAGCCGTGAGTTTCTTCTTGGAAGAAGATCAACTTTCTTCAATTTGGAAGCTAAACTCGTAGAGGAACTCAGCCGCCTGGAGCTCCTCTGCTACCCGTCTCGCGTCGAGCCCCACCCGGAAAGGAGACGCCGCCGACGATGTGAGAGGAAGCAGAAGAGGGGGAAACGTGGAGGAATCCTGGCTAGGCTAGAGGCTAGCCCACACAAGCCGGCAATTCCATCACTACTTATGGCAAATATCTGCTCACTGGATAACAAGATAGACAACGTACGTCTACTACGATCAACCCAGCATAAGGTGAGAGACTGCTGTGTTTACGTGTTCACGGAAACATGGCTCCACAACAACATCCCTGACTCCGCTATTCAGCTAGACAAGCTAACAAGCTACCGAGCAGACAGGAACAAAGATAACGGGGGAAAGAAGACTCGTGGCGGCGGTGTGTGTGTGTACATCAGTGACGCTTGGTGCAGAGATACTGTTGTTGTTAGCCAACACTGCTCGCCACTGGTGGAATTTATGGTTCTAAAATCCCGTCCTTTTGACCTGCCGAGGGAGTTTACAGCGATTCTTGTGGTGGCTGTTTACCTCCCGCCTAACCTCAGTAGCGAGGGTAAAGAGGAGGCACTCGGTGAACTGTACAGAGCCATCAGTGAGCAACAGACAGCACACCCAGACGGCCTACTCATCGTAGCTGGAGACTTCAACCACTCTAACTTAAAAACTGTGCTGCCTAAAATATATCAGCATGTTAATTTCCCAACCAGGGGGAAAAACACATTAGACCTGGTCTATACCAACATCAAGGGAGCATACAAGGCATCCCCCTCCCCCACATCGGCCGCTCTCCACCCAGCCCTCACACACCTGGACACTAATGGCGCATTTCCACCATGACGCGGAGCGCGGTTTAAGTGTGCCGTGTCGTGCCGTGCCCGTTTTTGGTTGCGCTTCCACTAGGCCTAGTCACGGCCCGGCCCGGCCCGGGGCCACTTTTTCACCTCTTTTCTGGCCCGACAAAATGGTGGTTCTATCGGGGCCAACAAACAGGGCTGAGTCGGGCTGAGTATGCTAAACTAGAGAGAGAATCGCTGGCAAGGAGGCTACAACAAGATGGACATATTTGACCGTGATTTAATTGTAATACACGTTTCAAAATGATGCCGAAGTAACAACATACTGATACCGGTTAGTAAAAACCATGAATTAATGCTTTGGCAAGTTTGCAGACAGACGGCAGGTGAAAAACCTTTTAAAATGCGTGTTTTCTAGATGGAGATTGGCTAAGCTAACTCAATATATGCTCCGACCGTCCACACTCACAACAACGGCCTATACAGACATAAATAAAGCAGCGACTGTACTCGCCATGACACAGGCAGTCTGTGGTGTGTACTTGTTTAACTTTTGTCGAGTTTCTGAACATATATAAGGAGCTGTGAGCTCTGAGTGCTAACAGCTAACGGCTATGTTGTTTTTCTGGGGTTCTCATTGAAGATGACGTCACGGCTCCGCCTACACTGCGTTACCATAGTAACTACCCCAGTTCCTAAACTGTAATGGAAGCGCAGCATGAAGTGAGCCGGCCCTGTTAAGGCCCAACGCGGCCAAGCAGTACCGAGAGTGGCCGAGGCCGACCGTGTGGTGGAAATGCGCCATTAGACTAAGACCAATAACTCATATGTTAGAATGCTATTTATAGACTTCAGCTCAGCATTCAACACCATCATCCCCCAGCAGCTTGTACAAAAACGTACAGACCTGGGCCTCAGCCCCTCTCTCTGCAACTGGTTGCTGGACTTTCTCACAGAGAGACCACAAGCTGTACGGGTCAACAACAACACCTCAAACACCTTCATACTGAGTACGGGGGGCCCCCAAGGATGTGTGCTCAGCCCCCTTCTCTTCACTCTGCTGACCCACGACTGCAAACCCAACTTCAGCTCCAACCACATTGTGAAGTTTGCAGACGACACTACTGTGGTGGGTCTCATCAGCAACAACGATGAGACTAACTACAGGAAGGAAGTGAACCAGCTGGCCCTGTGGTGCCAAAATAACAACCTCTTCCTCAACCTGGAGAAAACAAAGGAGATAGTTGTTGACTTCAGGAGAACCCACCGCCGACCCCCTCTAACCCCTGACCATCAACGGCGCTGCTGTGAAGCAGGTGACCAGCACCAAATTCCTTGGTGTGACCATCACTGATGACCTCACCTGGGAAAACAACACCACCGCACTAGCGAAGAAAGCCCAGCAGCGCCTGTACTTCATCCGGAAGCTCAAGCGAGCCGGAGCATCACCCCCCATCATGCTGTCTTTTTACCGAGGCGCCACCGAGAGCATCCTCAACAGCTGTATCACGCTGTGGTTCGGAAGCTGCACCGCCTCCAACCGCAAGAGCCTGCAGCGCATAGTGAACTCTGCCCAGAGGATCATCGGTGCCTCACTCCCATCACTACAGGACATATACAACACCCGCCTCACCCGCAAAGCACTCAGCATTGTGGGTGACTCCACCCACCCCTCCAACAGCCTCTTGCGGCAGTGGCTCAGTCTGTAAGGACTTGGTCTTGGAACCGAAGGGTCGCCGGTTCACGTCCCGATCGGACCAACAAAAAACAAAAAGATGGAGTGAGCTGGTAGCTGGAGAGGTGCCAGTTCACCTCCAAGGCCACTGCCGAGGTGCCCTTGAGCAAGGCACCTAACCTCGAAACTGCTCCCTTGGCGCTGGGTACCTGGCAGCCTCTCTGCTCTGCCACCTCTCCTATCTGCATGTGGTTGTGTGTGTGTGCATGTATATCCTCTGTGTTTGTGCATGTATATCCTCCCCTGTGTGTGTAATGTGTGTAAACACAACAGAGTGGGGAAAGAAATTTCCCTGTAAGGGATTAATAAAGTGTATCTTCTTCTTCTTCTTCTTCTTCTTCTTCAGCCTCCTGCCTTCAGGAAGAAGGTTCCTCAGCTCGCGTACCTCCAGGCTGGGCAACAGCTTCCTCCACCCCCTCTCTGACATCTCTCCCCTGAACTCTCCACCCTGCCTCCCACCCTTCTCCCCTGCCCCAAATGGTCCTGGACTTTAGGGACCATTCGGGTTATGAACGAGCAACCCCTGCCGTTCCCAAACCAAATCCGAAACTGAGCTACTGCCGCCCCCAAAATTAACACTAAAATTAGAAGTGTATTCAAAATAAGATGTCATGCTTAGATCCACTTTTATTCAAAGACATAATGTTGCTGCCTCAACAAATATTAGAGGAAATACAGATACTGGGCTCTTTGCACATCCCTAGATAATTCTGATGGTGAACAATCTACCAGGTTAACAAACGTATTAAAGAGCAACAATAACATAGCTATAGAAACCATTAGTGGATCATGTCAGAATGGGTGTAACCAATAACCAATCAGAATAATGATTTAAACTAAAACAATTAGCTCCTAGTTGTTATAGACTGTAATTATCCTCTAATGTATTGTTTCCCTGAAAAGAGCTTGATTTTTTTGTATTTGTGCTGTTGTTCTAGAGATGCTAATAATTGAAGGATGGATCTCAAGGCACAGTGTGACTTATAATGTTTTACAGAAAATAGAAACCAAACTTCCCTCTGGTACCAGAGGATCCCTGTAATACAGTAAAGTCGCCTCACACTGCTAATTTGCTTTCCCTTTATTTTTGTTTCCGATGGGCCCCTGCAGTTTGTCATCCCCCCTAGAAAATGTCATCCCCCTTTTTTGTCCTTCCTCCCTCCTCTCTTTTGGAAACTCGGCTGTGGTTGGAAAAAGTTCTGTTTTTCATTTCAGAGCCCCAAGACGGGAGCTATAAGTCAGACACGAGCAGCAAGCCCAGGAAGGAGCGCACAGCCTTCACCAAAGAGCAGATCCAGGAACTGGAGTCCGAGTTCGCTCACCACAACTATCTGACCAGACTGAGACGCTACGAAATATCCGTCAACCTCGACCTCACGGAACGACAAGTACGGTACCTGCTGAGTTACTGTGAATCAGTGTGAGGGCAGGGGGAAACAGAAGCAGCAATGAGTATGCTCCAAGTCATGAAATACAACCAATGAGGTATTCATTTTGTAACGACTTGTATTCAAATCTGACACAAGGTTAAAGTTAACAAAGGCATGTAGTGAAATGCTCCCTCGAGGATAAAAAACACTTGACACAAATAAAATCAATAAATGGATACTTATGTCACGGGAGATGGCTGGCAGGCTTGGCATAATGAGACAAGACGAACTGGGACAGGAAACGCAGACTTTACATAGGCTATTCAGACTTAATATACACAAGGTAAGGGGCAAAGGTGTAGACAATCAGGGTCGGGTCGACAATCACATAGGCGGTAAAAAACACAAAGGCAGGAAGTTACGAAGCGAGAGTTTACTGCAAAAAATATAAAACAGGGAGTCACAAGAGCAGGCCCAGAATAACACGTGAACTAGAGAAATTAACTTAACGAAATGCCTGGACAACACAGGTAATGTGATTTATTTGTGTACCTTTTTTATACAAGTTACAGCACTGAAATAAACCTATTTTTACTTCATAAGAGTATCCTAATATCTTTAATAGAATTATGCATGAATAAACACTTGATCCATTAACGTTTTTAGAGATCAGTTATATAGTTTACTAAACTGCTGTCGTACTTGGAATCAGATGGAATGATCAATATCAGTTTTATCTCTGATCAGAACAGACATGGCCTGGTGTGGATAGCTAAGAAAAAAGCTCATGTATGTATTGTATTATCTTTTTGCAAACAGATGCAAGATACAGGCATGTAGCATTTTTGTCCGGACTTTGTGTTAAGGCTAAACCTTAACATCTCTCTGTAATTGACACAGAGGTATGATGCTATATGTAGCATCTTCTTAACTGACTACGGGAGAATCATGCCCTATAATATGAAAGCATGGTTATGGTGAGGTGCACATGTTTTAGCTTTTTATGAGCAGAATCAAACTTTTAGTTTAAACATTTGACTTACATTACTAAACATTTAAAGTAATACATTTTTATTATACTCGTTTTCAACAATATATTATAGGTCTCAGATACAAAACATGTCCCTGAAGTTTTTGGCTGAAATTCCAAACATCATTGTAGCATCCCATAAACCCCTCTGTTCCAAAAGTGCTGATTCTGTAGCTTTAAATGCTAATGAGCTGCTGCTGGCCACGCCCCTCTGAGAGATGATTGGCTTAAATAACACAATAGTGCTCTAGGAGGAGATTCAGGTGATAAGGTGGGCGGGTGTTACCTTGGTTGGTGATTGGCTATTGATTGCACAACCCAAAAAAACATTGTGACATCACAAAGTGGCCAAAATCTGATCAGCTCATTTTCAGACAGGTTTTTTTATAAATGGATCAGGACAAAAAGAGAGAGAATTATTTTTCCTGAAACTTTCAGAGTCCCTTAACATAGAGGGGACACATATTTACAAAATACATGAAAAGTGGATTTTGCATAATAGGTGACCTTTAATAACGATTGCTTTATTTTGTCCACATTACAAATAAGTGCAATGAGATCCATCCCTCTGAGGATAAGGCAGTTGATAATTGCCTTCAATAAAAAAAAAAATCCAAGACTTCACAGGAGAAGTGCTCCAGAGTTGTGACATGAACAAACGGTTGGCGATGTCATATTAATGCTCTGAGGTTAATCCATTCCAAACCACAGGGACTCTTTGAAACGTCAACGTGCTGCTCTGTCTGTGAATAAACTTTCTGATGCTGTGTGCCACAGTCCAGATGGTTAATGCTCACAAAGAAACATTTGTATGGAGTTAGCGGTGCTGTAGATGGTGACACCAGCACAGTCTGCTGTTGATCATCAGGTGTTTAACGGTTTTGGAAACAGCTGTGTTTGAACAGTTATTAGGAAAAGAGACAGATGACTGCTTCAGGGTATTTCTGGAAAGTATAGGGAGTAATGGGCCAACTGCCTGTCATTAATGCTTGTAGTGAAGTAATAATACACAGGTGAGACTAGTATGCAGGGTAATGATGAAGAGTAGAGCATCAGTTTACTGTATTTAAGACAACAATGATAGGATAGGATGTTGGAAATGGAAGCAGGGTTTTCAGTTGTTTTTTTTGGCGATCACAGGATATTCTTCCTTGATTTTAATCCAGAACACCAGCTGAGTTGTTGTCTGAAACACACTTTTAATGCCACCTGTTGCTTGCAGGTTTTGAAATAAAGTATCGCGGGACTGAGACAAGCGTCTTGTCGAGAGATTCAGGTGCACAGACAGATGTATCCCATCATTTTGGACAAAAAAAACATATTTCTTACTGATAATCAATAATACAAGATGCATTCAATCTTTCTAAGCGACCCAGTACCAATTGACCCACGGACCGGTACATTTGAAGACTGTCCAGTACTTCTGTCCAACAACAACCCTACAGTTTCAGCACCATCACAGACACAGTGCATTTGAGGTCTGTTCAGTGTTTTGGATCAGGCAACAGCCAGGACAGCTTAACCAGGATTTAGGTCTTTCTGTCTGGAGCCAAGTCCTCATCACGCACATCAGCTGCTCCTCCAAAATTCAGCAATAAAAGTTTAAAAAATCTGAACGTGAGAGGGCTGATGGTGGGTTCTTAAAACTTTCTTAAACCTTCTGATTCCCACCAACTGTACAGATCTATAACAAATATGAATTGGGTTGTTTCTTTAACAACATTTTAAATACATACATTCATATTGCAATTTCATGACCTAACAAAAAGCTGAGCACCAAGAAAATTCATGCCTAAGTGAGCAATACATGCAAGGGTTTATTCCCGGTAAGTGAGTGGCAGGCTACTTTTCTCCACTGCTTTAATCGCTTTACCACTTTACAATAAGACTACCCTTATAAAGGGTTTACGAATAGTTTGTAATTCATTTATTAATTAGGTTGTGAACACTTTATAAATCATTAATAAGCTTTTATAAGACATGAGATAAACAAGGCGACTGTGACCGGTTGCTTGCCAAATAGTGAGCCCACATTTATCTGTACTGCTAAGCCTTATATTGGCTACCTAGCTTACTTCGTCTTCTTCATCAGCCAGCATCCTTGGTATCTGTTGTTCACTGAGTTGATTGCCCCCCTTCCATCTTGACCTTGGCATCTCTTATGACCAGGGAGCCTTGTAAAGTGTAAAACACATTCCCATTTATTAATGAGTCACAACCATTTATAATTGGTAAAAGGGAGCCTTATTGTAAAGTGTGAAACACATCACCATCTATTGATGAGTCACGAACATGTATAACTACTGAAAGGGTGCGTTGTTTTTAAGTTGAATACACATGTCCATTTATGAATGAGTTATAACATTCACGCTGACCTAATACACATTTTTCACCTGAAATGCAAAGTAAGATGCAAAAGAGCCAAGCAAAACATTTTATTCACACATGAAGAAAATCAGGACTCAAAGTAATGACTGTTTAGTATGACTGATACACATATTTAAACATAAAAGCTTTTCTCAGACATAAATGAAAGACTTGGTAAGACATAATGGTACTCAGACTGGAAAGGCTTTGTGTATATCCTTGAACAAGCGTCCAAGCAGTCCATCAGGGTGAGCAGAGCCAAGACAAGATGACCATTCAAGACCCTTGAGGTGTTCCTCCAACAAACTCTCTGTACGGTTTCCTCTCAGTCTACGGACATGTCCTTTGACGGTCGACCTAGCTTTCATTATGTTGGGTATGACTGCCAGTCTGGGGGTTCACAAACCTCCTGCTGTGGTTTATGATGTAGTGGTTGCACCCCATGTTACTCAGCACTCTCCTGTATGCCCTCCACTCATCACTAATAAAGCTACTTCCTGACTTAACATGCCGTCTAATCAGAGGGGCAAGGTGGCATCTTGATCGTTTCTCCACTAGTTTCAACACTAGTCTCCGCCTTTTGTCTTTAACTCCCATCATTCCGAAGACCCAATTATTCCTTCTCCAGGTATGTCCAAAGCGTCCACGTGCATACTAACATATTAACAACAAAATGCACACAAATTACAGTAAAGATTGTTGCACATCATGTTTCAAAATGCCATACATTTATTAGGTGCATTGTATAACATAATTTAACCTGTTAAGCCCGAGAGACCCCGGTACCGGGGCACTCCCGCAACATCTTGCAGGAAACAGTGTCTGAGGGCATGTTCATTTAATAAACTATGAATGTTTTATATCCATGTAACGGGAAGAAACTCATCTAACTGATCCTTTTTATGTTTTTTTTCAACAAAAAAAAACACAATGCTAACGCTGAGCCTCTGAATTAGCAACGAGCGAAAAATGCTAACAGATTACTGCACCGAAATTCACTCACAAAACCTTATTATTTATCTTTTCTGCACATCCAACACATCGTTTCACATCGTGAGGTGACACAGAATCGAATCGATGGGTACATACATTATCACTCAATGATACGAACTTGCGACTTTATAGACAAAAACAGACATCAAAACATGTGGCGCTAGGTAGCTAAAAACGCTAACATGGCTTACCCTGTGTCGTAGTCTGGTCAAAAGTGGTCTTCAATTGCATTAAAACGATAAAAACGCTGCTGAAGTTAATCCATAGGTTAATCCAATGTGTCTGTGTCCCTTTGAAATGATTTCTGATAATCCATGAGCAATAAAACTGCTTTTCCGTTTCCAGATGTCAGAGCTAGAGTATAGGTTCGCTCTGATGCAAAACTGCATGCGCGAAGCCCCCACCTTTTTTTTGTACCATGTGTGTGAGGGGGAGATTCCCCTTCGATTCTATTGGCTCTAACGGTCAGAAAGAGATGTCAATCACCAAAATCGACCAATGGGTTCCAGAGAAACGGTAAAACCCCCATTTCCACCCAAATCACCTCAGAGGTGGAGTTTATTTTGCTAAACCTCTCTAAAAAGGTCAAATGTCACTTGTTTTGCATCAATCTTGATACAGGGTACTTATTAGATGTTGTACTTTGGATTCCTAAAGCTTTTAGTCTACCTTACCATCATCCAAGGGTAGTTTTCACTATAAGTAAAAAAGAATTTTTGGACAGACACTATAATTTACAGTTTTTTACTATGTTCAATCTGAATTTTCTTTAAAATAAAAAATATCTATATTGTTCTGACTTTTCTACATCCAACTCACAGGTTTATCATTACTTTGAGAAAAAATATTATTAATTTAACCCTTTTAGAAGGGAAGATATGGTCATTTGTTCTGGGAATGTCATTTTCGAGCCTGAGACCTGAAAAACAGGCTCAGGGCTAAACAGGTTAAGGATAATTATATAGTAATGTTCCATATTGATTTAAAAAAAAACGTTGGCGAACAGACACAAATACTCAAATACAATAGTTTACTTTATCAGCATTGGTGTTACCAATGCTTACTATTTATTTGATACCAATTTGGTAATACAATTAATAAAAGAACACGGTTTGGGTTCGTTCTTCAGATATGACTGCTACGTTAACGTGTAACCTCAATAATGAACTCCAACTCAACCAACCATATTGTAATATCTAAGTAATTATCTTGAAATATGACGTTATTATTATACACACATCTTATTGTGAGGTTAATTTCACATACACTACGGCGCTCTTCAACACTACTTTGACATTAGCTTGTCAACATAATCGAGCATAGCGAATTTAAATTAACTTTAGCAATGCATAAAGTTACCAATAAAATATCTCTCTAACTTAAAAGGATGACTTTATTTTACCAACCTCAAAAAGAAGCCGTTTGTTCTACAGTGTTATCCCACTTAATGCTTAACACTTCTCTATTACGTTTTAACTTGGAGGCTACGATTAGCATCGTTAGCACAGATGTAGCTACCAGTTGCTTACTACATGCTTACCCAAGCCTTAACATTCATTAACGTTAGCTGACTAAAAACATAAGCAACACATAAATAAAGTACTCGAATTTCACTTACCGCAAAACCGCATTCATGCACCGTCTGTTTTAACCACAGTGCGAGTCACAATAGTCCGATATAAGCATGAAGAAATGTCCACAAGGCACCAGCACAACAAACATGGTCGAGTTCAAGTTATGTTCCACGGATGAGCTGAGCAGGCTGAGTCCCTGTAGCTTCACGGAGCTGCTAGCAGAGCAGGAAGCTAACAACAGCAGTCACTGGAATGACCTGTCACTAAATGTGACCACGCCCTAATTTATGCAAAACTTTAAGGCTTAATATAACTTAGACAAATTATAAATGGTAGTAACTCATTAATAAATGGTGATTTGTTTCACACTTTACAATAAGGCTCCCTTTTACCAATTATAAATGGTTGTAACTCATTAATAAATGGTGATTTGTTTAACACTTTACAAGGCTCCCTTTTGGCAGTTATAAATGTTAGTAACTCATAAATAAATGGTCATAAAGAGATGCCAAGAAACAGCAAGATGGATGGGGGGAGAATCAACTCGGTGAACAACAGATACCAAGGATGTTGGCTGATGAAGAAGACGAAGTAAGCTAGGTAGCCAATATAAGGCTTAGTCATCTTGCCAAATAGTGAGCCTGTGTTGATGTCTGAAAACTATGTTAGAACTGGTTTATAAATGGTTCTTAATGATTAATAAAGTGTTTACAACCTAATTACAGTATAAACCCTTTATGAATCCTTTATAAGGGTAGTCATATTGTAAAGTGGTACCCTTTAATCACATACTACAGGTGTAGGCCTCGGGTCAGATTACTACAGGGGTGGAGAGGAAGGAGGTTACCTCATTGGTCCAGAATGGATGTCCCCAATTTAGGCAACAGCTTATTCATCATTATGAGACACACAAATAAAAGGAGGCAGCCGAGAGAGCCTGCAGGCTTCTGTGACATCAGCAAATATCTGGTAATATAGTATAACCCTAACCCTAACACCACCACTTATCTAGTCTTAGAGTGTTGCAGGGATTACGTATTTTTGTAGGCAGACCCAGAAGTTAGCATCACTAGGGCTCCCTTGCTAAAATTAGATTTCGAGATTTGAGACGCATTTGATGTCGTAGAACAAAACATGGATATCTCTTCCGCTTGTGTTAACCACAGGTCTTATTTCAGACTTCTAACCAAAAACATGAACAAAAAAACCAGAAGAGGGAAACTGAAGTTGTAAAAACAATGTTTTAGGACTCCTTCCTGTACCACTCTATTGGCTTGCACCATTACGCTCACTTCAAGAGGACGAAGAGATGTCAGCCAACTACTCATGTGCGCATGTGAAGGCACTTGAAAATAAACTTGAGTGTTTGCTGCATAGAAATTGTTTCAGAGTTGGTGTGTATTTTCTGAATACAAATGTAGTCACTAGTCTTTCTTAAATACAGACAACATCATGTCCATTGAAAATATAAAAAATAAAGTTAACTCTGTTTATAAGGACTCCAACCTTCAGGGTCCGGTATATTTTTTTTAATACTTGTGTGTAAACTTTTATATTGGATTGGACAGAGTGAGATATAGTTTTGTGTTTCCTCTCATACACTCATGAGCCTCCCATTTTTAAAAGTGTAACCATCAATAATAAAGCCAGTTTGTATTGCTCCTGAAATGATGACATTGTGGAGATGATACAGAAGCTGCAAAACACTCTTACACACATTTCCTGTAATAATAATATATGTTTGTGTCTGTTTCTAAAGTAATAAATTAGCTCAATGCATTGATCAGATATTGCAACTCCCCTGGTTTGCACTTTAGAGCAGTGGTTCTCAACTGGTGGGTCGCGACCCAAAAGTGGGTAGCGGATCCGTTTCGAGTGGGTCGCGGATGTGTGAGTGAAGAAAAAAAAAAAAGGAAAAAAAGTTTTAATTTGTTTTTGTTTTGTTTTTCAAACTTTTATTTTGAAGGCCCGTGAAAAACAAACAATGGCAGAAAATATTATTAATATGTCGGGTAGTAATAGATGTATTTATTTTCTTCTCAGAGTGTACCAGAATGCGTAGTTTATATGTTAGTATTTCAAAAAATCTCCTGGAGGAGAATCCCCCCCCTTCTGGTGTTTTCAGCATGTCTGCCTTTTTATGTTATACAGTTCAGCTTTGATTCCATCATCTCATTAAACCTTTTTAAAAGCATACTTTGGTTCTGTGAAGGGATATAAGGGATATATGCACTGTACTTCACTTTAATTCATAATATATGCTGAAAAGCGTATATTACAGCACGATTTTTTTGTTGAATAGATTTGAGTTGTTCAAAATGGTGGGTCGCGATTTATTGACAAAGTAAAAAGTGGGTTCCGAGGCCTGACCAGTTGAGAACCACTGCTTTAGAGCATGAACCAAACATAGTTATTGTGTCTCACTGCTTTGTTTTCCTCTCAGGTGAAGGTCTGGTTCCAGAACAGGAGGATGAAGTGGAAGCGTGTGAAGGGAGGCCAGCAGGGGGCAGCATTACGAGACAAAGACTTGATTAATGTAAAGAAAGGGACACTACTGTCTTCTGAGCTTTCAGAGACAGAAGGACAGAAGTGCTCACCGAGGCTCGAAACTGAGGAGGACAGCCAGGAGAGCGACCAGAGCTCAGACAACCTTCACCTATGACCTTTGATGGTGGACCTGGTCTGGATAGAACTTAAAGAAATAGTGGTGAGACATATGTGCATGTCTCTCAAAAGACAAGGACATCAGACTCAAAGAACATTGCAGAGAGGCTCCAGACAGATAAAAGGTTTGTATTCTGCACCGTCTGAGAATTTGTTTCAGTCATATTGTACTGTACTTCTTATAACAGTCAATGCTAAAATATTGATGTGGCATATACAGTTAAATGAAAGGAAAGCATTCATGCCATTTATTTTTTAAGTTAATAATTTATCAAAATGTGTGCCCAAAATAAACTGAACCTGGAACTACATTCTAAAATAAACAGGTTTATCTTCTGCCTCTTGCTCAGTCTGAAAGTTGACTTGCTTGTCACCTGAAAAAAACGTTGATAGTAAATGCGAATAAATTATAAAAACTCAAATGTCTTGGTGGCGATTTCTAGCATTTATACATTTAGTGGAGAAAGTGACGATTAGGCACAAGCAACTTGGCTTAGGCCACAAACACCAAGTATTATAATGTTCAGGAACATACAGGAACGTAGAAACATTCCTACTCTAACCTACAGTATAGTCATGAAGGGGGGGGGGGGGGGGGGGGTCATAACCAAAATAACGAGATTGTGAACAGAAATGGTCGAAATGGCTCTCTCAGGGATAAGGTGGACAGTCATCTCTCGCAGTAGAGCCGCTGCTCCTTCCTGTTCAAAGATGCCTGTTGAGGTGGACAGGAAACCTGGAGGATGGCTGTCTTCTTGGGAGGTGTTCCAGGCACATCCAGCTGGGAGGAGACCGAGGGGCAGGCCCAGGACCAGGTGGAGGGATTATATCTCTACGCTGGCTTTGGAGCACCTTGGAATCCCCCAGTCAGAGCTGGTTGATGTGGCTAGGGTTAGGGTTATGTTAGGGTTAAGACAAGATTCATCTAGATTCAACCAAAAGTATCTAGCAGAACTAGTTCCAAGTTTCTTAAACTAGCAAGAAAGTCTCCAAGTTGGCAACACTTCCTCCAAGCCTCCCTCCACAGCCACTCCCCCAAATAATCACGACGAACGTCTACATATCAGGATTAACAGAAACAGGAACATCGCTGTGTTAGGACTGACAGCTCTCAATCTATCAGCTTGTGGAAGATACTCTGAGCGCTTGAGTTGACAATATCTAAATTTGAACCGCAATTTCAGAAGGCACCAGTCACGTCGCTGTATAATTTGGAGAAGTCAGGTTTTGGGTGTGTCTGTCAGAAAAAAAATATCATAGCAAAGACCAAAAAGCCTGTTTGTTTGGACAGATCAGCCGGATGCTTGTGAGTGTTGAACTTTTATCACCGTACCCCGATCGGCCTCCTCGCTCCCCGGCTGTCAGATGGCTGTGAGCTCATTCATACAAACTGTGAGAACAAGCATCCTCCAGTTGGTGTTCATGGAGAAAAACATGTCAAACAAATATGAAGTAGCCTTAATAAGCTAGACTGTCTTGTAAAAAAGGTGAAAAACAGTAAGAACGTTATGAGGACACAGAGCCTAAGACTATAATTCTATAGTTGTAAACACAAAGTGAGGAGATAACCTGGGAAACCGATGAGAGTAGTCACTCTTATGACTCACAACGGGGCCACTTCTACAGTTTAGTGAATACATTGTGTGTTAACAGAGGTGGAAAAAGTACTCAGATGTTCTTCTGAAATAAAAGTACGACTACCAGAGTGCAGGAATACGCTGTTACAAGTAAAAGTCCTGCATTCAAAATATTATTCAAGTAAAAGTAGAAAAGTATTAGCATCAAAATATACTTAAAGGGGACCTATCATGCAAAATGCACTTTTGTACGTCTTTTATACATGAATATGTGTCCCCGGTGTTCCAGGGAACTCACCAAGTGTCAGAAAACACAACCCTCTCTATTTTCCTCCATACCCAAATCTCTAAAAAAGGGGCTGCAACGGATCTGATACAGACTGATCCAGATTTGAACACTGTCCTGACGTCAGGACGGTGGCGCTACGGCTATTGGGCCAACTCTCCACCTATCAGGGGAATGTGGGGTTGGGCCACGGCCGGCCATTGCCGCTCGAAAGCGCTGGAGACCCTGTAGTACATATGCCAGGCTGTAGTCTGCCACAAAAGCAGCGAAGAAGACTTCCCACGCATGGTTGCCATGGTTCCCCTTCTGTTTATTCTCCGCTGTGGCTTTTTTTCTCCCTCCCCGAGGCAAGCGTTTGCTCCCGCTGCTTTAATTCAATGCAATCCCTCCCCGTCGAGGCAAGCACTGTAATTCTCTCCGGTTAGTCCACCAGCAGATGACAAACGCCCACCTCTCCGCCTCTTCCAAGGAACGAGGGGCCCGTGCGGCAGAGTTTCAGGTTTTCTTTCACCGGTCAAGATGTCCGTTAAAGTTTAAATATTCCGGACAAAATTAGAAAAAGTGCCGGTCAAAGGTCTTATTTGTTATTTATTGAGCTTTAAACAAATGAATAACGACTCTATAGGCCTATACTAATATAATAAAACACAGAGGACGGAGATCTATTTTTCTCCCCCTCTTCTGACTTGATCAGAACAGCTCCCCTCTCCTGCAGGGGGGCGTGGTCAGCTGCAGCTCACAGAATCAGCCCTGTGCAAAAACAGTGCTGGAGAACAGCAAATAGAGCGAAATGAGGCATGGCTAAAATGCATGATCTGTTTGGTATTTTGAAAACAGAAACGTATAAATATACCTTATATAGGTATGGCCCTACAATATATCATTTAAATATAGCATGATAGGTGTCCTTTAAAGTACCAAAACAAAAATGTGTCATTGTGCAGATTGGTCCATTTCAGAATAATATATATGATATGTTTTATAATGATTGATCATGAAAGTGTTATCAAAGCTGGTAAAGGTGCAGCTAGTTTGAATGACTTTGTATACTGCAGGGTAGCTTGTGAATTTACTCCAGGTGGAACTAAAGTCTGATTTAACACTTGATTATATTTCACATCAGTCCTCCACATCTGTAAAGTAACTAAAGGTATTAAATAAATGTAGTGGAATAAAAGTACAATAGTTACCTCTGAGTGGAGTAGAAGTAGCAACAAATTGAAATACTCAAGTACCTCAAAATTGTACTTAAGTACAGTACTTGAGTAAATCTATTACTTTTACCCCAGTGTGTCTTAGAACCTCCAGATAATATTTTTAACTGACTGATGATACAGGTTTGTTTTCACTGAGAGGAGGATAAGAAGCTGTGAGGGGTGGAAAGCATGGGGCCATTGTCACGTCTGATCCTCGATGGAGCTCCTACTTGCCCCCCGAGGGAGGGGTCATGTTGTCGTTACAGCCGCAGAACCAAGATCAACAGAGCAGAAGACTTTCCACATTCAGCAGCCCCGCGCTGCTTTCAGGCCAAACCATTTAGGAAGATTTACGGCACTGCACCAGTGTTGATAGGCGTTGGAATTCTTCTAACTTTTTTAACAAATCTGGTGAGAAACTTGATCTTTCAGGAGAGCAGAAAATGAAAAGAGATCTTTAAGCAGAGTCTCAGTTTTTCCCCGGTGACTCAGTCCCTTTTGGGAAACAGTCTGACCGTGGATGTTCCTGTGTTCCCAAAGTCTTTGGGAAGTTTCCATACTGTTCATCTGGGGAATATTAAAAAGGGCCATCTGTTAAAAGTCTTAAACTCCTTCATATTAAATCGAATAAATGAAACCTGAAGAACAGCAAATCTTTTAAGGCAGGTTGTGGATCTCATTGTGTTTTTGTAGGAGGGGAAAAATGAATCTAAAAGCAGTTTAATAGGAATTGACAGTCCAAGGTAATTCCCAGCATTATTTGTTCAGTCCTGCTTAAATGTATCTAATGATGTGATGGTAACTGTATGAGTCTAATGCCACAGTGTGACAGTGGAAAGTGGGATCAGGGGCCAAGGACTTGGAAGCCCTTCAATAAGCTGGCAGGGGCCCCTGACTGACAGCTGCGTTACGCATTCAGAGCTGCTGGACTGTGACTCAGGCACCAGGGAATTGATGACTAGACCAAGAAATAAAGTGAATACTAAGAAAATACTGAGCTACAGTCTCATTATACCCTTTTTATTTCAGGTACGACAACTGTGATGAGTGGAAATAAAAAATGCTTTAATGACTTTTTATCCAAACTCAAGACTTTGATGAGATGAATCTTTAGAACATTCCATAAAATATGGTTGACAAAAAAACTGACCAAAATAAAACTAAAGACAATTTAGAAAAGGACAAATAATAAATAAATAATAAATATAGAAATGAAAAATCACTTAGTTCTAGGATTGTATTTCCCTATGTGTGTCGCTTATTTTATAGAAGAAGGTTGTATTCATAATCAATTAAAATAAAATAATTAATCTTGCACATTATCGCATATTATATACAAACTAAAACTGAAATGGGAATAGAAGCATTCATAATTTGTTGGCTTTTATTCATTTTTGTTGTATGATGTGTTTTGCAAGTAAAACAAAAACGTTATTGTGTTTTTTGATAATGTCCTTGTTGCCCCTGTGTTGTGTAGTCCATCTGAGAGCTACACTCTTTGAATGGTTTTGTTCCAAGTGTTTTTTATGAAAAGAAAACTGATTTTATTTTCATAATGTTTAATATGTTGGTTTTAGGACCGAATTATATTGATCTATGCCTTGAAAAGGGCCAGCAAAAGGGCAGCTTTTTGAACATACTGTGTCATTTTGTGCATCAGTTTTTTTTTAAATTAAAGACACCAAGGGGATTCTATGGGTTAAATAGGACCTGATACTTTACACCGGAAGCATTCAATAATATCACCTGCAAGTTTCTGTGTCACTCCAAAAGCTTACTCCACATTACACATTCATTCTTTAAAATCTTCTAAAATCTTGTGCAGTTCAGCATACAATGTGTGTCATTTCAATGAACACCTTTTAGACAGCCATGACACCCACATTCTCTTCCTGGGGATCTCCAGGGTCTCCCCTCTTCCAGAGATCTAGCTGCCTCA